GGGGGGGGGGGGTCTGATGATGCAAACAAGACCTTACATGTCCAATCCGGGAGGTATTTTTCACATATAAGCTAGCTGGAAGCCCCAGGAGTTAAACCCTACCCCCACCCCCACCAAAGTGTCCGTTCCCATTGGGAAAAAAGGAATGAGTTGGAAAAGGAAATCGACCCGGGGATAAGGGGGAGCAGCTGCAATACCCAGCAGCAACCATACAACGGTGTCACTTCCCTCCGGTCTCTGAGAGGAGTCAGGCGCCCTTACCTGGGGTGTGGAAGCCGCCGGCACTAGTTCCAAAAGTTCTGGTTCACCTTCTCTCGGGGTTCAAAGCTCCGGCACTCGGGCCCCGCCGCAGGCTAGCAAACCCCAATTCTGTCCCGTCCCGCTCAAGCCTTCCCCACCCTCTGGGCCCTACACCATGTCAGGAATCCGGGCAGGCACCGAGCTGGGAGCTGACATCACTCCCAGTCCCAGGTACCTCCCCCTCCCACTGCCTCGTTCTCTCCTCCCTCCCTGCAGGAATTAGCCAAAGAGAGTTCGCAAGGGGGAGGGGTCGGCAGCGCCCTGGCTCCTGCTGATTGGGCTTGGGGACAGTCACTCAGAGGAGTCAACTAATTTTATACATTCCTCGCTGAGCCAGAACTAGGGCTGGAAGTGGTTGTTGATGGAAAAAAAAAAAAAAATACTGCCTTTTCTGCTTATCTAAGGAAAGGAGATACATAGTGAAGAGCCTTGCGAGCTGTGTTTTAAACTTTTCTTGGCGTGTTTACTGTATCCCAGATCAGAAACGAAACTAACCCACCCAAGCCCCCTTTTTAAGGAAAAACAATTGCCTCTGTGTCACGGGCAAGTACGAGTCTGGCGGTGCGTGGAGCAGAAAATGGCTAGCTTTAAGTCAGGCAAATAAAGGAACACGCCAGTTCACTCTGCTACCCTTTTATCTTGGGACTGCTGGTTGTTCCCGTAGACGGGAAATTTAGAACTTCAAAAGCACTTCGGAAAAAAATTTGGAAGAGAATGCTAGAAAAGGCGACCCAGCTCTGAATTGTTAACTTGCAGCGTTATCGACCATGTGGTTGTTTTTGCTGTTAGCGATGAAAAAAAATCACACCATGTGAGCTTCCAGACAAATAAAATTGAAGCTCTGAAGTAAGAAAAAATTACTATTTACCTTTTTAACAGTCTTCACGCTGCTGTTTTCGTGCACAACTGAAAAAGGGGGTGGGGATGGGGAGCAATCTCACAATTGAGTTCAACAAGCCACATGAGAATAATTACTGTTGAATGGAACCAATTGCAGAGGCTGAGCTATCAATTAAGAATTAACCAACATTTACCCTTGACAGATATAATGCTAACAGAACTGAAACATTCTCGGGAGATGTTCTTTCAATTCACCTAGTATCTACTCCAAGGCAGAACTGAATAGTGAAAAGTGTCTCTCTTTATAGGAGATAGAGGGAGCATATTATCCATCATCTTCTGGAAGTACAATGAATTAATTATTGACTTTCTGTTGGTTTTGTTTGTTTTCGATGAATGACAACGGCATGCATTTCACCATTCTGCCAAAAATTGTAGAGTGATGCAGAGTCCAACATTGTGTCTCATTTAATCCTCACAACCATCCTGTAAAGTGAGTGTCATTAGCCTCATTTAAACATAGAAGCAAGGTTACACAAGCAAATTTCTCCAGAGCTGGGGTGGATACCAAGGTCCATTGGGCTCCAAAGCCATTTTTTCTCTAAAGCAGTGATTGCCCACAGTCTACACTCATTTGAAAAATTGGAGCACTATAATACTAAAAATATCCATAGACCCAGACCAGTGCTCTCACAGACCTACCTTCATGTTATTACCACTGTGCTGTTTGTCAGCACAGACCTACACTACTCCAAGCTAACTTAAACTTCTGACTCCATATTTCCCCAGCTTTAAGTCTTTAAGTCTTTCTATGCACCACTACTAGCTGAGCTTTCTAAAACACTGTTTGGTTTTTGCCATCATCTTTCCCTCTAAATCAGGCCCCCCTCACACACACCCCAATCTTGGCTAGGCGCTTAAAACTGTCCCTAATCTGGCCTCTTTTCATCTTCCCTACCTTATCTCCTACTTCAGTCTTGGGAAATACTCGGCTGCAGTCAAACTGGTCTACTCACAGATCCTGCTTACTTCTCACCTTCTGGCCTAACAGGAAACCCCACTCTTCTGGATGTGTGGGTTTGTGATGTTTGTTTTTATTTTTGTTTTTGTTTTAGGAACTTTTAAGATCCACTCTTAGCATCCTTACAATATGTAAGCCAGTATCATTAACTATAGTCACCATGCTGTCCATTACATCCCCAGGACTGATTTATTTTATAACTGGAAGTTGGTACCTTTTGACCCCTTCCTCTGAGTGTTAAGTCCCACCCTTCTCTCAAAGCATAATGGAAGTCCTTGCCCTTGCTGTGCACTACGGTGGACAGAAAAAGGGCTTGGGGTCCATTGCCCAGCTCTGCCACTTACTTGCTATGTAACTTGGCCTAGTCCCTAAAACATCTCTCAGTTACCTCTCCTATGAAATGGGACTGATAATACATCAAGGTTTGTTGTAAGCTTTGTTGAGATTGTACAGATGTGTAAACATACGGTTAAATATGTCTAGTTACATACATTGCCAACCTTCCCAAAACTCTGAAGACCGAGCTCCATGCATAATACCTCTTTGTATTCCTTACACCCAATTCAAGAAAAAGACTCAATAAAAATACAGGACAGAAAAATAGATCATTATATCACCTCTAACCTCCCTCCATTTCTTAAATACACCCAAACCCAAAGTAGCTTCACAGTCAGAAACCATAACTGTCTTTCTCCACACCCCCACTCCCTACCCCTACAACTTTGGCCAGAGTCCTTCCCTTTCCCCACCATCTCACCATTCCTGCAACAACCCTTAACTCCCTTAGGTATTTTCTGCACCCACCACTTAACCTGCCTCTTCACCATTCATCCTTCCCTCTCCCACAGTCAGGGACACACTTGTGTGTCATGCCTGCTGCCTACCTTGCTCTCCCAAATGCCTTCAAACAGTGGCTGAGTGGCTACCAGTTATTCTTCCAGCCCCAGTCATAGATGGCTGCACCCAGGCTCGCATTCTCCAACCAGCAGCAGGAGGTGGGGGAGGGACTGTCCCACCCCATAGGGATGGCAGGATAGAATAACAGGAAGTTGCCTCCCATCCCCTCCACAGCTGGAGTGATAACAGCTGCCATCAGAATCCGGAAAACAAAAGACTCAAGAGGAAAGCTGAAAACAGGCCAGGGCTCCAGCAGTGGTGTTCAAACCAGGGGTTCCAGAGTGGGTGAGAAAGGAATCCATGGGCCAGTTTTCAGCCTTCTCCCCACCTTCTTCCCTCCCTCCCGATTGAGTTACAGCTCTTCTCTGTACTACATTTTTTGGCTTCACCCTAATGCTTCATTTTTAAAAGGGGCTCTAACACTTGAAAACAAATATATTGAAACCACTGGCCTCTGGGTATCTTTGGGAAGCCCCAAAGAATCAGCAGCAGAAGTGACATTGCAGCAGAAGTGAAACAGGGTACCCGATGAGCAGCTACCCAGAGTTTACCTACTAACCTGGATCTTAGTGGACTTAATGGAAAACTCTGTTTACGACTCCTGTGGTTTCAACGCTAATTAGCTCTGAAGGCCTAGATATCAGTTTTCTGCCTAGTTATTCCTATAATCTTTACCTTTAGCACCTATGAATTTTGCCAGATACTATCACTATGGGGTGGGAGTGGGGTAGAGGACACTTCAAAAGCAAGAGAAAACCTGCAGAAATAACAAAAGTAAAGCTTAGAATAGGCTCTAAAGGTCATCTGATACCTATTGGAAGCAAAAATCTCTTCTATAGCATTGCTGACAAGTCGCAGCCTAGCCCTGGCTTGAATTGATCTGGCAACAGGGAGCCATGAGCTAGGGGAGTAGCCCACCACTGAAGGTCTTTCACCTCGGGAGCCAGGTCCTGATTTTCTGACTATTCCCCCAAAGACCTCAGTCTTGTCTCATTTAATCCCCACAACCATCAAGTACGGTGGGTGTTATTAGCCCCATTTTAACCTAAGAATCAAAGGCACAGAAGGTTACATGAGTCAATTGCTTCAGTACACCCCTAGCTGGGATTGAAACCAAGGTCTCCGACTGCAAGCCCCTTTTGCTTTATATAGTATATCTAAAGCATTGATTGTCCACCGTCTGCTCTTTCAGTTCCACCCTCTGGAGTTAACAGATTGCAGGTTCACTCTTTTTATTATCCCCACCCCCAAGCCTCTGCAGGCAGGAGGACATATCCCCTACTTAGTCTGTTCAGATGCAGATTCCAGGGAAGGCTCACCCATCTCATCAAGGCCATGTCATTTGTCTGTGTGGCCTTCACAGGCCCCCGGCTACAGCTATCTAAAGCATGGCCCTGATTACCCTTGACTCCTTTCAAAACACTTGAAATGTTGACCAAGGAAGAAACTGGCATCCAAAGGCCTATACATCCTGGCCCCCAACTTATGTTCCTGAACTTATCATCCACTCTGCTTCGTATCCCCACACTGCTCTCAAACTGGAAAATTTTGCACCCATGTTCCCTAATAATGTTTCCTCAGTTAAGAATCATGTTTGCCCATTTCTACTAAAATCCATCTCACAGGGTTGTCGTGAAGATCTGATGAGATGTCATATGCATGATGACAGAGCATGTTGCCTGACACATAAAAAGTCATCAGTAAACATATTTCCCTTTTTCTTATGCCATAAAACAACAAGATACTACTATCTTTATATATGGTTTATGTCCTCCACTGACTGCAAGTTCCTTGTAGTCCTTGAGGGCAGGATGCCAATTTGTTTTATCTTTACATCCTTTATGGGATTTGGAACTATGCATTGTCCTCTGGACAGTCAATGAAAATTTACTGAGGGAATGAATGCTGCCTTTTGCTGAAAACTTCTAACCTGCTGTGGGCTAGGTTCTTTAAAAGTTCAGGAAGAAATTGCCCAGAGTGATCGTAAAGGATCTGGATGCCTCAGATGGTTCTCATCCCAGCCACGTCTCTAAACACAGAATGGGTTGAACACATGGTATAAATCACGAACCCAAATTCAAACGAAACAAGCTTAGCTTTAGAATTCCTTATAAAGAAAATTGCTGCTTATCCTGTCTGATTCTAAACACGGCACTGCTGATAACCCAGACACAGTTTTAATATCCTTTAGCTGGATATTAAGCCACTACTCAGCTACCACCACTGACATCATTTATGAATCTAACCCTCCTCCCCCGTCTCTTCCTGCCCGTGGAGACAGATTAGAAATAGGCCCACTATCTCTCTCCAAGCAGAGCCTTGTTTTAATCACTCTTTCTTTACAACCCAGATTGTGTTGGTTATTCTCTGGTCACCTGCCAGATAAATTCAGAAACCTAGTTACAGCCAGCTTCCCCATTTTATTATTCTATTT